TGATTATGGATCCAAGTAAAATGAAATCCTTGACAACTTCAATCTTTTCTCCATTTATCATGATGTTGCTTATTGGTCCAGTTGTGAAAATTTTTGTTTTCTTTATGTTGAAGTGCAGTCCACACAGAAGGCTATAGTCTTTGATCTTCATCTGTTAAGTGCTTCAAGTCTTCTTCACTTTCAGCAAGCAAGATTGTGTCATCTGCATGTCACGGGTTGTTAATGAGTCTTCCACCAATCCTGATACTACGTTCTTCTTCATATAGTCCAGCTTCTTGAATTATTTGCTAAGCATACAGATTGAATAAGTATGGTGAAAGGATACAACCCTGACACACACTTTTTCTGATTTTAAATCACACAGTATCCCCTTGTTCTGCTCGAATGACTGCCTCTCGGTCTATGTACAGGTTCTGCATGAGCACAGTTAAGTGCTCTGGAATTCCTGTTCTTTGAAATGCTATCCATAATTTGTTATGATCCACACAGTCGAATGCCTTTGTGTAGTCAATAAAACACAGGTCAATATCTTTCTGATACTCTCTGCTTTCAGCCAAATCCATCTGACATCAGCAATGATATCCCTAATTGCATGTCCTCTTCTGAATCCAGCTTGAATTTCTGGCAGTTCCCTGTCAATGTACTACTGCAACCATTTTTAAATGGTTTGTGGTACATCTTGACTACAGCCTCATTAGAGATCATGAACCACAACCATCCAGCTAAGCCATTCTCCAATTCTTGACCTGTGAATCTGTGAGATAATGAATGTTTGTGTTTTAAGCTGTTCAGTTTTGGAGTAGTTTGTTATGCAGTAGTATGGATAACTAATACACTGGATCAAAAGATATACTTTCGCAACTGTGATAGCTACTATCACTGACTTTGTTGTACCAGGTTATTCTTCCACTGGTAATGTACAAAGGTGTCTATTTTCCCCAGACTCTGACCATTCGATTGTTTTCAGCCTTTGTGTCTTTGCTTACCTCTAAGGTCAATAATGATATCTTCGAATAGTTTTCATTTGCATTTCCTTTATTTTGTATGAGTGAAATCTGAGAGCTGTTTTATATCCTTTTGTGTAAACCATTTATTCATGTGCTTTGCTTGTGGCATTTCTAATTCCTGTCCTGTGATGCCCTTCAGACTGAGTATATTATCTGTAGAATTTACAGACTTCTTCAGTTTTTATCATACCTTTCTCACAACCACAAGCATGCCATTCTTTTCTCTAAGTTTCAGATCTTGAGGGTTATCTTTGATACCTTTTCATTTCTTTTTGAACAGAAAATCAATTTTCAAGTTCAGTCACTTCCTCTTCTGCAGTGTCACTCAAATCCAGTAATTCCTCTGTTTCCTTAACTTCCAGATCCTCTACTTCAGCACTTAGTATCTCGGTTCTGAACATCTTATTGATTTCCTTCTGAAACATCAGTTCTATTTTATATCTTCACATTGAGACAAAGCAAGGTATAAGGCACCAAAGAAATAATTTGTAAAATTTAGGTTAAATGTATCCAAGGAAAATTCTAGGAACTTCTGAATGGGTATCTAGAGCACACTTGTTACCTTTAGGCTTGGATGCCTGTTGTTTTTGGGTGCCGTCGAGTCGATTCTGACGCATAGCAACCGCATGTGAAAGAGTAGAACTGCCCCATAGGGCTTTCTTGGCTGTAAATCTTTATGGAAGCAGATTACCAGGTCTTCCTCCCACGGAGCAGTTGGGTGGGTTTGAACCGCCAACCTGTCAGTTGGCAGCCAGGGGTCCTCTTGGATGCCTAGGGGAGACCCAACCATGTAGGGAAGCCAGACTGCGAGATTCACACATGCGTGGCCATCATTACAACAGATGTCACTGCTACATTTACTCATTTAACAAATATTGAGTGCTAAGAGAAAAAAATATTGCTCTGTGCTTAGCTATGAAGAAGTACTATCTAGTGGGAAAGACATTTATAGAAAAGGAAAATTTGTAATAGAGTTTGCTAAGTGCTATGATAAGGATAAGAATAGGGATATAGGAAGAAGGATATTCATATTAATGTAATTATTTCTTTCCTTGACCTGTGGTAAAAGATGTGAAAAAAAGTCATCACTAATTCCATTTTAAGTAACCAGTTTGTTATTGAAAATAAAAGTCTGATTTCCGTAATAGAATGATATCACACAAATCAAAAACATTTTGTAATTATTACATTTTGTTGTGAATTTGTTTGTAGAAAATATTATTTGCTGTAATTTAAAGATATTACATTATCTGCCACTTTATGAGTTCATTATGAACTGCTACTGTCAAAAGCATATTTTGGATATATTGCTTGGTTATTAGCCCTACAAATCCCATTTCTTTGCTATTATATATATAAACTCTGATTTCAGTACATAATTAGTGTCCTAAGAGTACAACCACTGTATTTTATCCTTGAGTTGCATAGGGTGACATTACAACTTCAGTAGGCAGGAGTGATAAACATTGAAGAAACAGTAACATGGAGTTTCATAGAATATATCAGGAGCCATAGGAGCTTGAATTGTTGAACTTTCATTTGGATAACTTTAAATGTGTTATAGCCAGAGTCCAATATCTTTGCTTTAGGCAAAAACTTCAACTTGACTTTTTAAATTTAATAATACATTGTTTTGTCTATAAAGAGTAGACTAACAGCATAGCAATAATTGGTGAGCATGGCACAGGACTGGGAAGTGTTTCATTTTGTGGTACATAGGGTCACTATGAGTTGGAACCAACTCGACAGCACGTAACAACAACAGAAAATGCTATTATTTTGCCTGCTAGAATTGTGTAAATAATT